ATAAGCATCAATGCCTTGAACCTGACACAGGACGCAACAGGTAACCAGTGTCAGCAAGCCAGAACTGGAGAGATGTGATCAATCTTGCTCATGCCAACCAGCAGTCAATAATTTAACCTATTAAAGCTCCCCTTCCTTCTAGATCCTCCTCAGAACCTTTTTTTCCCCCAGTTAACTTCTCTGTTTCTATCACTGGCTGTTTCTATTTATGACTTTTAGTTTTTGTTGCTTACGTCTTGCTCTGAATTCTGTTCCTGGATGCACTGCGGTATAGCATTTTTAAGCTGGAACAATACAATTCATTTACCAATTTAACCATCATAAATCATTAGCTGTAACCCATGTAAAATCTACTTCTTATGGTACCTCTATGGCAATTATCTCCCCTGTATGGCCACCATAATATTTCTTGATTTTTTGCTTTCCTGTTCATTTAATCAGTTCCTTGACATCAGATTGTGTTCTGTGCCTTCTCACTGCTATTGGCCGACCTACTGTGATGTCACAGAAGGTTAGTACTGCAAGGATGACACTGCCCCATGGCTTAGCTGAGCACTCCTGGTCAGCGAGGCGCAAGGAAATGATTGGGAAGATTTGGTGTCTGCATTTCAGAGTCCATTCTTAACAAATTCTATTAAATGTGTTTTCCTATTATTTAAATGATATTTTTGTGTTATGGGTAATGATCAGGGTCAAAAAACAAACCAGACAATACATGGGGTCAAGTCTAACTAGGACAGACACACTGAAATAAATAGAACTTTTCAAGCAAAACTCACATGCCTCATTGGCTTCAATGGGTCAACTCCAGTTACAGCTAAAATTGGATTCTGTCCATGATAATGATAGGACATGACACTATTTCGTCCACCCACATCTGGCCTCATAATTATGTTTTGTCTCTTATGCTATAAAAACTCACTAGCTTGGGGAGATATGAGGAAATTAAAACAACCAATAATAAATTCTATCTTTCTGTGGGTTTTTTTTTTAAATGAAGTTGCAAAATTTCTAGAAGTGGTTGACTTCCCCAGACGTTAGCTTGGATCACTGGATTTATGGCCCAGTTTCACAAACATTGCTAATACTTAAATCTTCTGCAAAGGGATGACCTAAATCCAACAAAGAATTACTGATATGGCTTCAAAGACCTATACCCCTTATATTTGATTCTTTTTTTCTTTCAGAAAAAGTATGCCACACTTGAAGATGGAGAGAAAATTCAGAAAAGTGAACTGGATTTTTTTAAAAGAGAGAGAGAAAAAAGATCTATTTATCTCTAGAACAGTTTTTTTTCTCTTCATGGGGCTGCCAAAGAATGTTCTAAAGGGAATGACTTGGTACACTTCAACTACTCTGAA